TTTTGGTCAACATAGATTAAGAATAGTCAGTCAGTCAATCAGCTAAAACGTAGGATCAGTCATATTTATTCATCGGTCTAGGTTTCCATACCTTGTAAGAAGAACAAGATGAACACCGGATTCATAGAAATAGTTAATTTAGTGGTGGTAGTATATAAAAGAAAGGTTGTATACAAGGATTTAGTATAGGAAGGAAGACAGATATGAAGTGATTGTAATCTCAAGGTTTATGGGAAGATAAATAGTGTATACACCCGACCGTTGCTGCCACCTTGACGTGGTTGTCGGGCTTGTCTACCGTGATGAACCAATCAAGTTATCCTGGCTGGAACAATTGTTTCTCAAAGTCCTACCATACCGGACAGGTCGGTTGAAGAGCTGTAAGACTAAAAGCAGCAAACCCAAGGTGAAGTCGTACTGCCAACTTTACAGAGGTGTGACGGCAGTAAGGTGTTTCCATCAGACAACCAGCATAACAGCGATGCTGCCTTCCCACAAGGATGTGTGAGGTTAGAAAAGGTCGACCCTAAAAATGCACACCTCGCCTTACTCCACGAATATCCTTCTCCGGCGGTAAGGTTCCAACAAGTACGGAGCTAACACAAAAATTACCCACAAAAAGGTCGTATGTGATCGACCTCAAGTAGTAGTTCCTTGATCACTGCGGTCACGCTCTCAGGTTATTAAGACCACTTCTAATCCAACTTTCTTTTCAGGTACCTCTAGAAGAACCCTTCCACGGTATGGGCAACTGGGAAGTGATAACTGCCCTCATACCTCTAACAGCACTCAAGTAAAAATATTAATTAATTAATTAATTAAAGGTGGTATTTGATAGGAAATTGTGAACCTGTGGTGGACTTAAAATTAATATGAACTCAAAAATGACAATAAAGTTATTACGTCCAAAAGTTAACGTTATAATATATCAATTATAATTTATAAACATAAAGAAAAGTTATGGGTTATTACTTGATTTGCAGGCTTTGGGGTGTTCGAGCTGTATTTAGTACCATAATCCACAATTATAGGTAATTAATAATTTCAAGAAGAGGGAGGTTTTGTGCAGATTTTAGTAAATTTATATAGTTAAGATCATGAGTCAATTGAAGCTAGACCACCATGGAAAACCTGGAAGTACTGGACGGCGTTTCGTCCTGTTGTGAGACTCCTCAGCAGTGCGCATCCACGATCTCGTCGTCCAGTGCTTTCAGGTTTTAGTACGCACGACAACTTCACTTATGTTGGAAGTTTGGTCAGTTCCAATGGGTTGGTTTGTGACAAAATCTCTGAACGGATTCAAAAATCTCGTTTGACCTTTGCCAACTTACGTCATCTATGATGAAGGTGAGACATCCATCTATTAAATTAAAAGACTAGTATACTGCTCAGCAGCTCGCTTTGTTCTACTTTACGGCTGTAAAACGTCACAATTAAGAGTAGAAGATACACGTAATTTACTAGTATTTGATGACAGATATCTTAGAAATATTGACCGCATCTACCGGGATCAGTCAGTCAGTCAGGCAGTCAGCTACAACGTAGCCCCGTGCATATTTATGCATCGGTCCAAGTTGCGATATCTCGTTAGCACAACAAAATGAACATAGGATTCATAGAAGTAGTTAATTTAGTGGTAGTAGTAGATAAAATATAGGTTGTATATAAGGATATTGTATAGAAAGGAATCACTTCGTAAGTAATAGTTAGGTTAGACACAGGATATTAGGGAATACTGATGGTAAATCGGTTGATGAGATGTTGAGGCCACGTGTTACGTATACTTGAACACCGATTACCACGACACGCTATGCTGACTAGTATTGGCAATGGTTGGAAGAGAGTTAGGGACGGCCAAACCAAATTGTGGTATCAGTCCTTCAAGTCACTTAATTCTAATCTGAGCCATGTTGTCAGATGAAGACTACTGTCTTAACTAATGGTTGGAGACTCTACGTGACATGGCTTAAAATCGATCATAATGGCGTATGTGTATATACATTTTGTCTTCTCTTAAACTATACCATTAAAATTGCTTCATATTTTTCTTTCTTCCTATACTATATCGTTATATAAAATCTTTCTCTTACATTTTTCCATCATTGAATTACCTTCTTTGATGTTCGTCTTGTTGTACTAATGAGGTTATAACAACTTGAACCGATGTATTATGTATATGCCTAGTCTTAAATTGTAACTGACTGATCGACTTACTGAAGGTCTAGACATAACAGTTTTAAATTAAACTTTAATCAATTATTATTATTATTATTTTATAATAATAATACATTCATCCATATAAGTACTTCTATCTAATAAGGTCATATTGAAACCATATTAAGAAAACAAACGATTATATTCCCTTTATTAGAAAAAAAAAAGAAAAAAAAATACCATCAATGATTGGATAATTATTTAATTAAAGATTTTTTTGTTTTTTTTTCTTTTCTCTTTCCCCTTTTTTCTTTCCTGTTTTTTTCTCTTTTTTTTTTAAAAAATTAAAAAAAAATTGTTTACATATTTATTTTATTTATTTATTTATTAATTAATAGTTTACATTATTGAACTTTTATAAATAATGATATATCAAGTGTATATTTAGATATGATTATAGATATATAGGTAAGATATGTGTTTGTCAATTAAAGATGGTTGTTAGAGGTGGTTAACAAGAAACTTTGGATTTGGTTTTCGTGTTATTTGGCACTTATCAATAAGATGTAACTTGTTTATTTTATAATAGTTTACTTTATCCTATTATAATAAATATCAAACATGAACAATAAGAATAGAAGATATTCATAGGTTATTAGTACTTGATTATTTATTTATTTTATTTTATTTAAACACATAAATATTGGTACAATGAAGCACCAGATAAATATGCGCCTCACAAATCTCATTCGATTTGTGTGAGGGCTGTGATACTGCTCAGGTGCCCAGACTGAAGTAGGTGGTTTTCTTAGGGGGCCACACCCGGAGCCTTTGACCGAAAGATCTGATCCACAAGGCAGTGGAGCATCGTGAGGAGCTGCAATCCCATCGTAGCCGTTGACCAATGACAGGTTCGTCCGCCATTCGTTCCATCAGGATACTGGGGCCCATGTGCACCATTGGTTTGGAATCAGGGTTTTCCAACTCCCCTAGGTGGACATGGAGAGTGTCCACCAACCCGGTTAAAGCGCCGGACATTCGCTTCTCGTCCTCTCACTTTCGTAAACAACACCTGTAGTGCGAGAAGGCAGTGAGTAGGACTTCCCTGACAGAGGCTATATATTCGCTGGCCATATGAGAGCATTTCGAGAGGGATAGGTGACTCTCCCCACTCTCGGCCGTACCAGGGCATTTGGGGGCTACTTGATTATAGATGTCATCAAAGCATTAATTGTATATTTCAAGACTATTGAGTACATAATGCCTAGGTTAAGAATAGGTTGTATTGAATAAGGATATGAGCTAAGTCAATTCATTATATTTGACAAGGAAATTATAGAATATCTCATTAAAATCTGATAACTATACAGTAAACATTGACTTAGTATTGTGAATTTAAACTTCACCCCATTGTACAAGCAAATAGCTGTCAGGACTCAGTAGATGAGTAGATAACGTGATTTCGTTTAAAGTGAAAAGTACTGGATTCGAGTCTCGGAGTGATCATCAACTCTGAGATGCTGGTGCATCCAATTGACTAGTCCCAAATAAGACGAAACTCTCATCGTAGATTTCACTGCTAGCCACTATCAATCTTTGCTCATTATACAAATGAGATTTGTATGGCACATATATATCTAGTGCCCCGTCATACCAATATCTTTGTATTGAAATAAATAAATAAAATAAATACATCAAACAGTTGATTTGCAAACTATTAATTAGTTGTCTTAATTTTGACCGTTCCTTCAACGAATAACAGTCTATAGTCTCCGATTGTTATTGTTCATGCATTTTCATACCAATTACGTTTAATTTCTGTTCTTTCGTTATCGATTTTCTAGTGAAATATATTATATGCTTGACCATCACCATATACTACTTATGTGGATGTAGGCAATGTAAGTCAGGATGCTTCGTAAAAAAAATTGGCAAATCAGTCGATTAGTTAGTAAATGTTCATCAATGAAGGTGGTTGTTATATGTGTAACGTATGGATATCTATGGACTGCTTCGACGGTGTGAGTGTGATATAGTAGTAGGTTGGTATTCAAACCATGATATAGCATCAATCCATGAACCCACTGATAATTGAACTGAACCATGTTAATAGGTGTAAACTATCTAGTTGGAATCCGTTTGGTTATCTTATCTAGTGGTTAGATAGTTGAAATGAAATGGCTCAAAATCTTTCAAAATGATTCAGATCCATTCAGTTTTTATGTTTACATAAATCCTGAATTTTATAACCCCTTTATAATTATTTTATATTTTTACTTTATTAAATCGTATTTTTAATGCCTAATGTTTTCTGTTGATACTTATACTGTTACTATCTCTGTAATGTATACATAAGCCATATACAGATGGAATACAAATTTTTTATGATATACACATAATTTTCAGTTTTCCATTTGTATCTATTATGTATTCCACAACCCAAGCTTGTCGTAGACAGTCTTCCATAGCTTCTCTTTTAGTCACGAAAGTATTCTGAACTCTCTTCTTGATACTTTTGTCCTCGGATGTCGACTGCAGCAACTCCCACGCGACGCTCTACAATATACTACTTATAATGTTGTCAGTATCATCCACCACACCTTTACCACTCTAAGATTTGCCCAGACAATTTTCTTTCGTTGTGCTAATAGGGTATGAGAATATTAACCGAAGTACATATATCCCAAGTGTTGTTTTGATATTTGTCCTTATATCTCGATGTTGGTTTCTTTATCCTGATCTATCTGACAATATACTTTAGATTTGTCCCTTTTGAACTAACTAACTAACTAATTCAATATTTTCAAATGATCTCACCTGGTCTATTTCCTAACCCCTTTTTGTAGGTATCATCAAGAGATAAACGATTCTTCTCTAGACAATCCAGTAATACTAGTAAATCATCATTTATATCTGGTACATCTATTTCATCTATAAATTCACCAACTAAACGAAAGTTAACTACAACAACAATTAATTTTCCTATACCATTATTACGTGTACTTGAAAGTAGTAATCAAGATATAAGAATCAATCTTGACGATGATAATCTCAATACTACTCATAATACTACTAATAATCCATCTATGGAACATCATACAATAATCCATAAACCTTTAACTGATCAATTAGATACTAACCATTTAATATCCAATAGAAAAGAACAAAAACAAAATACACTTTTAGTTCCTTTCATTGATTTAAATGAAAATAGTTTTCAATATTCATCTATTAAAAATTTATCAAATACTACCAATACTACTCATTCATTATTACATAATCATCATCATCATAATAATAATAATAGTAGTAGTATTGATAATAAACAAAAATATTTATTCAATGAACGTAGAAATAGTATTTCTGTAATTCAACCAACAATATCATCATATAATGAATATTATGAAAATCATTCCAAAGTAACATTGATTTCGAATACATTTTCTAGTATGGTTAATGATACTACTAATAATGATACTAATCATACATCTAAATGTACAACATCAACTGAAACATCATCATCATCTACTACTACTATGTATACTATTCAAAAACGTCGTAAAAGTACTAATGATCTATTTAATTCATTATTTCAATCACGTAATCAAGATTTAATTAATACACGTTCTACTGATGAATCTATACTTATTCAAGCATTAAGACGACAACATAGACGTACATTACGTATATTAATTATATTATTATTAATATTTATTATATGTCGTGGACCAAGATCATTTATATTAATTATTGAATGGTTACAATATGAATCTAATTTATATACATGGTTACAATATACAAGTATATTTTCTTATACAAGTGCAATATTAGATACAATTATCTATGGATTTTGGGGGAATCGAGCTTATCGTTTATATATGAAAAATTTATTACATCAATGTACTTTATATAAATATTGTATTAGATAATGATTTGATGATAAGAACCTCCCCCCCCCTTCCCCCCCCTATCTTCATTATATAATAGATTGCATATTCTAATCTCTTGGATACGATTTGTCAAGATCTTTTGATAAGCTTTAAAAACGAAATCTGACGAGCCTAATTCAAACAATTATGTCATAATATAATGATAATATCTTGTTCATTCAATTGAATGTATGTAAATATCTACCATTACCTATCAACTAATTAAATCTTTATAATACCTTTTCCCTTCCCCCCTTTCACTCTAACCACCTCCCCCCTTTCCCCCCACAGGTTTGAAAGTATTCATGATACTGTAAAATGTCACATTACAGTACAATTTCTAAAGTTATTTATACTATTATTATTATTACTATTACAAGCCAGAACATAGACATTTAAACACCTATGTGTTGAATAGAAATGAAAAAATAAATGTCTCTTTTCTTTCTTTCTTTCTTTCTTTCGTTCTTTCTTTCTTTCATGTTTCTTTATTGAAGTGTAATACATTGATTGATTGATTGATTGAATGTTTTTTGTTTCTACTTTCTGTTCTATTTTGTTCAACTTGTTACGAAAAGAAAAAAAAAGAAAGGAAGTTGAGTAGAAATATAGTATCGATATAAGTTTGAGTCAATTTCAAATCTCCACAAAACCACTTCTGATAATTATCGTATGCTCACTAGTGACTGACTTCAAAAGGTAAATCCTGAAGTTCTAGTGAGAAGCAGTGACTAGTGGAGTTCAAAACCACGTCTTTTGTGAGATAGGAACTCATTGAAAACAATTGGTGAATGGTTTCTCAACTTCGTGGATCAGTTGAAGTTAGACATTAACACTGTTGGATGCTGGCTCAGTGGTCTATCGGTTAAGTGCTCTGGCACGAGCCTGGTAGGTCCTGGGTTTGAATCTCGCGGGTGCGGGATCGTGGATGCGCACTGCCGAGGAGTCCCACAATAGGTCGAAATGGCCGTTCAGTGCTTCCAAGTTTTCGATGGTGGTCTAGCTTCAATTGACTCACGTTTTCAACTATGAAAATACTAAATCTCCACAAAACCCCTTCTGATAATTAAATTTTTTAAATTAACCGCAAAATGTTTCAAGATAGTTTTCAACCAATCAGCAAAGATATAGGTAATGAAATACATTTCTACGCATTTGATCTTTTACATTAACTCGGCATCCAAGTGCTGTGAAACTATTCACTTTCATTTAGACGAAAGTTCTTATATAAATAATAACATAATCGTAAGTTACAAGTATTTTACTACAGATGTCTTAGAAATATTGCTCGCATCTGCTGGGATAACCGGGTAAGTAATAGTGAGGTTAGACATAGGGTATTAGGGAATGATGGTAAATCAGTTGATGAGGTTATGAATCTTCATCGACTGAGATGATTGGGCCACGTGTTACGTATACCTGAACACCGATTATCACGATGCGCTATGCTGAGTAGTATTGGCAATGGTTGGAAGAGAGTTAGGGGCCACCAAATTAAAACGTGGCATCAGTCCTTGAAATCAATAACTTTTAGTCTGAGCCATGTTGGTAGATGCAGACTACTTGGTTGGGGTCCGCGTGACTATCTTAACCAATGGTTGGAGACTATATGTGATATGGTTCAAAATCTATCACAATGGCGTAGGTGTATACACTCTTTATCTTCCTTTAAACTTTGAGATTAAATTGCTTCATAACTTTTTCTCCTTCCTAAACTATATCCTTATATACAACCTTTCTTCTATATATCGCCACCACTAAATTTGATACTTCTATGAATTAGGTGTTGATCTTGTTGTGCTAACAAGGTATGGCAACTTGGACCGTTGCATATAAGTGCCTGGTCCTACGTTGTAGCTGACTGACTGCTATAAATAATAATCGTAGTAGTAATACATTGGCTGGGAGCTTTTAATTCTTTTAAAGTAGATATCATGTTAATTTATGAACGGTACATTTAAAGTCATTTCCTGTACTATAATGAATGAATTATAATCATTTATAATCAGAGAAAGTAAAATGGAAATAGTGATCATGGAACAACAAAGTATATCAGCCAGGTCTACTATAATGCATGTGTCATGTTACTTAGTGATATATATATATATAGTGTTCATGTTAGATACTATTCACATAAGTTAAGGTTGTCAGGGATAGTGTTAATTTTAAGTATCAATCAACAAGTAGATGGTTTTACTTAGTGAATTCAGTAAGAAGAATGGGTAAACATTTAAAGTTCTTATAATCTTACTTGTGGAATAAGATACACTTACAGGTGATAGAACATTTAAGGCATTTTCAGAGGAACCGTATGCATCAATGAAGCGAACAAAGGATGGGAGTGATTTTATCTTATGGAAAGATTGTGGCATATTATTCCGGAGTACGGAAAATTTACAGGTAAAGTAATTCATACAAAGAGATGATTTAGGATGGGTTTGGTCGATCCCAAGTTTATTACACCTAGAATTATAATTCAAGGTACCATCAGTTCCAAGAATACGAAGTGTAAATCGTCTCTGTACTGATTCTAACCTTAATTTATCCTTTATGACCACACTGCTAAGGATAAATGTGCAGTATTCTAGGAATCATCGAACACATACTTTGTAGAATAAAATACGTGACTCGATGTTATACACTCCATAAGACGTTGAGACATGGATGTCTGTTTCATTACCAGTTCTATAGACGAAAAATCGTAGTAGTACCTAAGTCTATTACTGTATGTAACTTAGATAACACCTCATCATTTATGATAAGATCTAATTTGAGTGATGTATTACCGAAGCATATCCATTCACATTTAGCTGTGTTAAGCTCCATCTGCCATTTTGAGTACTGCTACGCTACCTCGCTAAGCTCCAATCTGATGCAGTTTCTCATACTGTTCAGCTCATGAGGAGAAAATGCATTCACTAATTTAGGGTATAGAAGTACTATTTCTATTGATTTCAGTAAATACTACCCAAGTATGCGACAAGGAAGAAAAAACGTTGATATTGTATTTCCAAGTTAAAGTATTTTTAGCAAGGCAATTTTAGGGAAGTAGGATGATACCTTCAAACAAAATCCTTCGCGTTCACCTGAAATTAGAACCATCAGTATTCCAAGAGTAGTTTCAAGAGCATTTGAATGACTTTAAACTGTCTTTTAATCCATATAAAAGATCTTAGAAAATAATTTACTTTAACGTATTCAGAGTAGTAACTGAAAAAACCGAGTATGCTTGAAATAAATGATTCGCATAGATGAAGCTGTAATTGTTGTTCTGGACTCAATTGGAAGGGCTAGGCGGATAAAGGACCAATAAGGACGATAGACTGCTCATACCGGTCGAACGTCATTGTTTTGGCACAGTGCTAAATTTGAAAAAGTCGTATTTCGATTGGTGAATAAATCACTTGATAAAAGCTGGGCATAAGATCACAACAAATTGGATATGGCCTTTATTTTATTTTAGATCATTCGTTGAAACAGTCGAAAGTTGAGAAATGCTCATTTCATCTTATCTCTAACTGCACTTAACAGTTTACATGTATGTATTGAATAGATAATAAATGAGCATAAACTGGGTGTCTTTTCATTTATCCGAGCAGATCCTCTAAAAGTTCAAAATATTTTCAGCAGTGCAACTGTCCTTTATTCATTTGATATCGGATAGGATGTTCATATTTTAACGTCGTAAAGGATAGTCAGTGAACAAACCACATCGACTTTCCTTCATTCAACCAAAAATATAGAGATAAGAAAGTTTTAACTGGATTTATACATTCCAGGTGATACTTATGACAAACCTACACTATTCTGGTGACCCCAATTTTTAACACTTCGTTGTGTAATATCCCACTTTGTACATTCAACTGAAACTTACTTATCATAGGTCTTGTTTCTTGTCCGAGCGTTACATGTGTTTCACTTCGAATTATGTAACTTTTGACCGCAGACCGCAGACTACACCATAAATTAGGAAATAACATTTATATAAGATCAATCCAAGACGTGGCTGTGAACATGAGAGACGGTAATTCATAGTATATCGTGTAATAATAGTCTATAGGTCAATATAAAGCATATAATAAGGGGATAATCTATTTACTGAATTGTTATACAATAAGAATATAAATATATAATATTAGTTCATAAATAGTTCTCGGAAGTTACGCTTAATTTAATCTTTATTAGGATATAACAACAATCTAATTAGGAAGGAGTGTGTTGTGTGTTACTGATGTCAACAGATATAAGTAGTATGTATCATCAACCGAAAGTGAAATGTCTGGGAGCAAAAGTTTAAAAAGATCAAAGAGATGAGAACCAGATCAAATAGTAATTGGTGTGTAAACGAAAGGACAATGAAGTCTGAGACAATTGATCGACTGACAAGAGAAGCATATTTACAACTGAAGAACATCAAGAACTCACAACAATTGTCAACCAACACCAAGATGAGAATTTTCAATACAAAAGTCAAGGCAGTTCTACTGTATAGGGTGGAAACCTGGAGAACTACGAAAACCATCATCCAGAGGATACAGGTGTTTATTAACAGTTGTCTACGCAAGATACTTCAGATCTGTTCGTCATACACCATCAGCAACATTCTACTGTGGGAGAGAACAAACCAGATTTCAGCGGAGAAAGAAATCAAGAATAAGCTCTGGAAGTGGATAGGACACACATTGAGGAAAGCATCCAACTGCGTCATAAGGTAATCCTTCATATGGAATCCTGAAGGCCAAAGGAGAAGAGGAGGACCAAAGAACACATTACGCCGAGAAATGGAAACAGACATTAGAAGGATGAACAAAGTTGAATAGAACTAGAAAGGAAGGCTTATGACAAAGAAGGTTGGAGAAGGCTGGTGGGCGGCTTTTGCTGCATTGGAAGTAACAGGCATAAGTAAGTCTCTGAGTTTGTCAACACATTCTGTAGTATTGCATTAAAATACATTTGGTTATCCTCAGCAGTGCGCATCCAAGTCCTGCCTCGCGAGATTCGAACCCAGGATCTACCAGTCTCGCGCCAGAGCACCTAACCGATAGACCACTAAGCCGGTCGGCATTCAAAGGGGTTAATTTCTAACTTCAACTGATCCACGAAGTTGAGCAACTGTTAATCAACTGTCTTCAGTGAGTTGATAACTCACAACAGACCTGGTTGAACTCCACCGATCACTGCTTCTCACTAGAACTCTAGGAAATATTTCTTGAAGTCAGTCACTAGTGAGCAGAAGGAGTTTAAGGGAGATTTCAGTATTTGCATAGTTGAAATTAAAGTTAGACCACCATGGAAAACCTGGAAGCACTGGACCGTTCATCCTATTCAGGATTCATCAACTGAATGTATCTGGATCTCACAGATGATGTTCATTCATGGACTCGAACCTAGTACCTTTCGCTTCAAATAACAATAGGAGACTAATCAATCCATGTTAGATGTTAGCTACGAGATGTGACTTCAAAGTTAGTTGTTGATCACGTCATTCCCGTCTAACTCGAGTAGGCCCTCAATCATTCTACATAGATCACATACGTTGATG